CATTTTTCTAATCTGAAATCCTAAAGCTTTAGGATTATAAAGCCCTAAGGACCTATGTGTATTAGAGTCTAGATTTCTGAGGCTTTAAGACTGTAAGACCCAACAATTAAAATGTCTAAGATGGGTGATTACAAAGTTCTGTTTACAAGAGTCACCATTTCTAAAGGTCTTTGATTCAAAGAATCTCTGAGTATGACACTCCATGGTCCTAAGATGCTAGATGTCAGCATTTTGGGATTCTAAGGAAGCACACTTAGAAAGTCCCACGTTTCTGGGATTGTACATTTCTAAGGTTCTATGAGAGGTTTCCCAGGTGGCTCAGTGGTAAGAATCTGCCTGCCAATGCAGGAGACATGGGTTCGATCCCTGGGTCAGGAAGATGCCCTGGAGAAGGAATGGCAGCCCACTCTAGTAATTTTGCCTGAAGAATCCCATGGACAGAGGAGCCTGGTGGGCTAATAGTCCATGGGGTCACAAAGGAGTTGGATGTGCTTAGCAACTAAACAACAATACTGGACATCACAGATAGAGAACAATTTCCCATTATCGTGGAAAGTTCTACTGGAGAGTGCTGGTCTAAAACTGGAGAGTGCTGGTCTAAAGACTCCAGTTCCAAGTGTCTGTAACCCTCTTCCCATCCTCCAGGTCATTAAGGTATACAGACACCACCCCGGCAGTGCCTTCCCTTCCTTCTCTCCCACCCCCAACCCCAGCCCTCTTCCAGGTACCTGCCAAGGCCTTGATCCGGGAGCACTCAAACAGTGAGCCTGCTGCAGTGGAGGCGGCTGGTTGCTCCCGCTCCCAGCCCCGATCGGGACTGTCCCAGCGGGCTGCAGGGTTGTTGTTATTGGGGGCTGGCAACCCCTCCATGTTGTCCACTTCCCCTGGTACCTGCGCCATTGGGGGAGATGAGGCCTGGGGATGAGGAGAGGCAGGTTAGGGACAGGGGCTGAGTTCAGAAGTCCCACTTCTTTTTAAAAAATTTATTTATTTGGCTGTGCCAGGTCTTAGATGCAGAATGCAGGATCTTCAATCTTCACTGTGGCAAGCAGGATATTTACTTGTGGCACAGGAGCTCTGTTTCCCTGACCAGGGATCGAACCCAGGCCCCCTGCATCGGGAGAATGGAGTCTTAGCCACTGGACCACCAATAAAGTCTAGAGATCCCACCTCTAACAGGGACAGACTGTGAGTTCTGTCCCCTCTCTCACTTTCAGTTTCTCTGTCTTTAGAAGGAAGGGACATGCTAATAATGACAATAATTTTCACCCTAACCGCATCACAGGGATGTGGTCAAACACCCACCTTAACACCTAGCAGAGGGTAAGGGCTCAGCAAATTGTCACTGTTAGGACTCCATGGTGGTACAGTGGTTAAGACTCAGCACTTCCACTGCAGGGGTCATAGGTTCAATTTCTAGTTGGGGAACTAGAGATTGAACCTATAAGATCCTGCATGCTACATGGCCTCCTCCCTAAAAAACTGTCACTGTTACTGTTAGAATTATAGCATTGTTATCAATAGAACTCTATAAGGCAGTAACAACAATAATTAATATTTATTGAGCACTTGCACTGTGCTCAGTACTTTATATGCATTATATCTTATTTAATTCCCACAAATTTAACACTCTAAAGAAAGGTATTATTAGGCCTGTTTTACAGAGAAGGAAGCTGAGGCACAGAGAGGTTAATTCACTTGCCCAAAGTCACACAGCTAGTGAGTAACCAGGATTGAAACTTAGTCACTGTGATTGAATAACTGCATTAACAGTCTCAATTCTTCATCCGTATAGCCACGTCCTCTGCCACGTAGCTCCTCAGTGTTCTCCCACTCTGGGGGCGGGAGGAATGAAAGAGTGGGGTTGAGTGGGGGGAAGCCCTACCCCCTGACTCTGGGCTTGGCCACACGACTTGCTGTGACCAACAGAATTAGGTAGAAACACTAGTGAGTTCTGAGCCCAGGACTCAGGAGATCTTGCATGTTTTTGCTTGTGTTTGACTGTGGCCATGAGAAAAACATTGCTGGGCTAGTCCAAGTCCAAGGCCCTCATCACAGCCAAGGCCAGCCTCAGCAACCAACAGTCAACATCCCCCTACCCATCCTAACTGGGAAATAAACTCAGATGAGCCCAAGTCACTGACCTCAGATTAACTCAAGGCTAAATAAATGCCTAGTGTTTTAAGACACTGAGTCTGGAGGTGGTTTCTTATGTAGCATTTTTGTGGCACTAGCTGACTGACATATTGTCTGACTCTAGAGTGATGTTCTAGAACACTGCCAGATTGTAAATATGAAATTTAAGGGTGTGGGAGATATTAGATACATCTCCTCTATTCTCTAGAACCCCAGGCCTGGTTCTAAGACTAAGAAAAGAGGCAGCTGCGAGGAGCTCAATGTCCCCATTCTCAAAATATTCAGACAGTAGCCCACAAATCAGATTTTAGAAAGGCAGGGTCTAGGTCTTGGTCAATGTAGTAGAGACTGTCCCTTTCCATAGACACTCAAAAATCCATGATTATCTTTCCCTTCTTCCATGGAAAGCTTTAAGTGGGCACCTGTGTGACCTTGGCCAAGTCACCTTTTCTAGGGCTCAGTTTGTTCATCTGTAAAATGGTAACAATAACAATAGTACCCATTTCCTAGGTGTGTTTGAAGATGAGAGAATTAATGATGTGGGGAACATGGTATCTAGTACACCGTAAGCCCTCAATACACGGGCCTTGCTATTACTATTCACCCTCCAGTCACATATCTTAGAAAATCAAAGTGCCTGTGCTGAAGTCAGACAAAAATGAGTTCAAGTCCTGCTCGATTCGTGCTCTATCTTTAAACACGATTACCTTTAACTTGGCTTCTCCTGCCTCAGTGTCCCTCTCTGTTAAACGATGAACACAGCTGTTTCCTCAATGGAGGATACTTGGAGATGGAAAGGCACTTAGCACTTGGTGAGCTCTCGGTCAGGCTGGAGGTGGAACAGCCCTGTCTATTACGTGATTCAACGGGGAAGGGAGAAGGCGGTGGGGGAGGTGAAAAGGGGTGTCCTGAGGGCCCAAGGAAAGGTTGGTCGGGCGAGGCTGGGGATATGAGCTGAGAGCCGATGCTTTAACCCTTCCAAGGCCGCGCCTCTCTCTCCCTACAGTCTAGTCACCGTTCCCAAGGAGGGGGGCCTGGGAAGGACAAGGCTTGGGTGGAAGTCTCACGTATGGCGCCGAGGTTGGACTGGGGTGAGGGACTGGGGACTCATTCTGCCCTCGACCCTCTGCCTCCCCCAGCCGGGGAGACTCTCGGGGCTCAGGCCATGCCCACGGGGCGCGGGGGAGGGATGCTCAGGCAGGTGGGAAGATGCTGGAGGGAGGGGCTATCCGCCCCCACGCCGCTCACCTGGGCCCGCGGCCGCCGGTGCCGTTGTCCCCGCTGCTCGCCGTGGCCGACCGCCCTCCCTGTCGGTGTCCTCGGCCCGGCCCGGCCCAGCCGGCTCGGCTCGGCCCCACCGGCCCCGCCGCTCGGCCAGATCCGCATGCGCCGCTGCCGCCGGCGCGCCTCCTCCCGCTCGCGCGGCCGCCGCGCTCGGCGCGCCCCCGGGACCCTCTCCCGCCCGCGGGTCCCCCGCCAACCCCGGCCGCCTGCAGCGCCTGCCCACGCGCGGCCACACACCCGGCCAAAGCGTGCGATACACAGCTGCAGGGGCCGGAGGCAGCGTCACACACAGTGCACACTCCCACGGGGTCACACACTCCCGCACTGCCACACACACGCGGGGTCGCATACGGCGTCACAAGGACTATCCACATCCACACGCTCACACTGTCGCCCCCTCATACGGGGTCACACAGGGTCAGATATTCAAAGTGTGTCCCGCAGTCACAAGCCTGCACGAGGTCCCGCGCTGAAACCGTGCCCGACAGCGTCACACACCGTAAAACACTCAAATTGTGTCACCACCATTCACGTGGAGTCATATACGAGCACACATGTGCCACACACTGTTGCACACTTCCGTGGGATCACAGAGTGTCATCGACTCACATATCACACACGGCTTCCCCATCACACAGCTCACACACTTTTACACACTCAAACTTGTTACACACTCACATGGGAGACACACATCCTGCACTGTCACACACACGTTACACAGCACAGGTCACAAATAACATCACTACAGTAACACCCACAGCCACACTCAAATGATGTCACAGAGTCACACACGAAGAGTCACACACTCCCGTATATCACAACTCACACATGTCCCACACTCACACCGTATGCCCCAGCGTCATGGATGCATGTAGTATCACAAACGGTCACAGTATCCACCGGTGTCACCACAAGGTCAAAGAGGAAGAGCATCAGTGCCTTCCACACGTGGTGTCACACACAGTCTCACACCGTAACACGGTGTTTTACACAGAGGGCACAAGTGTCTTCCACGATCATGCTCTCCCCTGGGGTTATTCGCAGAGTCACACGGGGTCAACACGGGAACATAGACACGCAGCTACAGTGTCACCCTCACGCACCCACATTGTCCTGCCTCACTTTCTCCCCTTGTCGCCTTGGGAAGGCCGTGGGGCGTTATGTGAGCCCCAGATCAGACTCGCGGCCGTGAGAAAGGAGGCGTGAACGAGGAGAGAACTGTGGGCGAGGCCCGCGCTCGCCCCGCCCCACCCCGGGAGGCTAGAGAGCGGAGGCAGTGCTCTGCGTCCACCTTCGCGGACAGCCAGATACGCCTTCCGGGCTAAGTGGCGGGCGGAGGGGGCGGTGCTGGGCCTCGGGAGAGCTGTCTCCAGCTCCGCCCTCTCTGTCCTCAGCGGGAGGCGTGGCCTTTGGCCCCTCCCCTCGACCGCACTGTGGGGCTGGAGGCGGGCTGAGGGTTGGTCCTCTAGGTGGCCCCGCCCCGTCCCTCCCTCCAGGAAAGGACGCGAGGGGAACCAGCAGCCAGTCGGTTCCCGCGTGTCCTGCGACTCCGCGGCCTCGCGCCCCCACGATCCCGCAGCATGGTCGTCAAGAAGATTGCCCTTTTCGGCGCCACCGGCAACACCGGGCTCACCACGCTGGCGCAGGCGGTGCAAGCAGGCATGAGCTGGGACGGGCAGGGAATGTCGCGGGGTGCACAGCTGGAACTTTAGGCATCGTGGGACTGGGCCCAGGGAGGTTGGAGCCATCGTGCCTTGGTGTGCGAGGACCTAGAGGGCAAAGCTGGTGGCCACGGGGGCAGAAATGGGGGACGCTATGATGTCTAGTTTTCTCTTGAGTCCCAAGGGAAACGAAATGGCCCTGGGAGGCTGGGGGACTGTTTTACAGTGACAGGTTTACATCCATTGCTCTTATAAAAGACAGCTTGGTGTGCTGGTGGTAGTGGTGGTGGTGATGGTGGTGAGTGGTTGCACACCCAGCAAGGGCGTCGCTAAGCCAGGCATGAGGCATCTTCCCTGCACTGTCCTCTCGCCATGTGTCGAATCCTCATAGCACTCACGTGAGGTGGGAACTAGTATCACCTCACCTGACAAATGAGAGAAAACCGAGTCTCCCTGAGTGACTTGCCCAGTGTCACATAACTGGAAAGGGGCAGTGCTGGAATTTGTTACCTGACACTTGCTCTTAACCGCTGAGAGCCCTCCAGCACTTGGTTTGAGTACCAAGGATTTCAAAATTGAAAAACTGAGGAGTAGGTTGCTATGAGTACCTAATGGAAAGAAGATCATGGAGACAAGGGTGAAGACTTGGGGAAACGGGCCCCAGGAAAGTCAATGAGGGCTGAAAATTTAGAGTTGCCCCCCAGGAAAGGGGATAAGTATCATGCAGCAGAACCCAGCCCCCACCATCCCAACTTCCCCAACCCCCAGCAGAGTCTGGCCTGTCCAGATATACAGCCCCACCCTTGCTGGCCTGAGTGACTCTGAAGATACTGACTATCTGGGTGCCCCCAAAGGGTGGAGGCCTCCAGGATCCCACTCTCAGCTGACTCCTAGCCCCACTTTCCCTGGGAGGGATTGTGACTCAAAAGTTCCCCATTAGCCCCACTTCTCTCCACCTCCTCAGGGAAGACCTAGTGAGGATGTTGACTTGTGGGAACAGGAGAAACAAATTTGCTGATAAACATTTCTCAGGGAGGAAGTAAGAGGGAGAATTTGAGAGATGCTGAGTCACTGTGAGTTTTGGATTCCCAGATTACTACTACCTACCTTTCTCTTCATCTTGGATTTTGTAAAACTTCACTTAGCCTCCCTGCTGGTTACAGCTGGGACTGCACCTGGAAGTATGGGCTGTACCTGAGGCCTAGCCCCTTGCCTTCTTACAGTGGCTCTGAGAGGTCTCTTCAGAGCCACAGTGAGCCTGAGCCTCCCTGTCCCCATCAGAAAAAGGAAGGGCTTGAATGAACTAGGCTTTTACTGACCTCAGTGGTTCCGTAGGACTGAGTCCTAAAGGCACAGACTCTGGTGTCCATGTGGTGTGCAGTGCTTAGTCGCTCAGTAGTGTCTGACGCTTTGCGACCCCATGGACTGTAGTCCGCCGGGGTCCTCTGACCATAGGATTTCCCAGACGAGAATACTGGAGTGGGTTGCTATTTCCTTCTCCAGGGATCTTCCCTACCCAGGGATTGAACCCGCATCTCCTGCATTAGCAGGCAGATTCTTTATCCCTGAGCCACCTGGGAAGCCCAACCAGCATATAGCTGGTGCTCAGTAGACACTCCTTGGCTGAGTGAATATAGATTATAGCTGTGTGATCCTGGCCCAGTTACCTAAACTTGCCTTACTTTCCCCAGCCTCAAAATGGGCATATGATACAACCTACTTTGTGAGGTTTTTGGAATCTGAGGGCTGTTTTCAAACTGCGGATCATAGAGAGTTCTGAAATATATTTAATGGGTCATAACAGTGTCGGAATGGTTCACATGTTAAATACTGGTTTTATGAAACCATTGTCTCAGTTACACATGTATAAGTTTGTGTATACGGGGTTAGTGAAATCTACTTTGAATGGAGGGCTGAGATCAAAAAAGCTTAAAAGGGGCATGATTTCTACAACTTACTCTCACATAGTTAGGATAAACTTTATACATATACATATAATTATACATGTTACATGTATGTGTTGTGTATACATGCAGAGAGAAAGATAAAGCAAATATGAGAATCTAGATTTTGCAGCTTTCCTATAGGTCTGAATTTATTTCAAAATAAAATGTAATGCAAAAAGATAAAGAGATTTGTTTTAAATAAAAAAGGAAGAAAGAAAAAAAAAATTTTAAGTTTGGAAATAACCTTACAAATGCTTGTGTTCTTTGTAAAGGGCAAAATCTGTAAATTCTAAAACTATAGTTTGACATAGTAGCTATTAGCCACTTGTGGCTATTTAAATTTAAATGTGAGTTTTGTTAAAAAAAATTTTTTTTACATGTAAATCCATGGCTAATTCATTTCAATGTATGACAAAACCACTGCAATGATGTAAAGTAATTAGCCTCCAACTAATAAAAATAAATGAAAAAAATAAAAAAATAAATATAATTTAAAAAAAAAATTTTTTTTTAAGTCACTCTTCAGTGGAAGGAGCTTAGCAGAGCCCTTGGCACATACGAAGCTTTTTTTTTTTTTTTGGCTGGGCCTTGCAGCTTGTGGGATCTTAGTTCCCCAACCAGGGGTTGAATCTGTGCCTTCAACAGTGAGAGCATGCAGTCCGAACCACTGGACCGCCAGGGAATTCTCTAGGAGGCTCTCAGTAAATGTCTCTAATCACCAGTAAGGCTTCCCAGGTGGGTCTAGTGATAAAGAACCCACTTGCCAATGCAGGAAACATAAGAGACACCCGGTCGATCCCTGGGTTGGGAAGATCCACTGAAGGGAGGGCATGGCAACCCACTTCAGTATTCTTGCCTAGCGAATCCATGGACAGAGGAGCCTGGCAGAGTACCATCCATAGCGTCACAGAGAGCTGGATACGACTGAAGCGACTTGGCACCAGCGCAATTACCAATAATGTCCCACTGATGGGCACTCTCGTGCTGAGCCTGTGTCAGAGCTCTCATGTTGGTGAGAACATTTCTCCTCCAAAATGCCCACAGTTTACTAATACGGTGGTAATTAACCAGTGACTACATTGACACCCTGAAAGCCCCCATTGCTCCCCAATGTGTCTGAGACCAGCATTCCATATGAAAAGAATGGGCATGCTAGAGGCTATCATCTTCATTTTAGTTAGTTTGGTTTTTTTTTAGTTTTTTAAAAATTATTTATTTATTTTTGACTGCATTGGGTCTTCATCGCTGCTTTCTCTAATTGCGGCCAGCAGGGGCTACTCTCTAGTTTCAGGGCATGCGCTTCTCATTGCGGTAGCTTCTCTTGTGGAGCACAGGCTCTAGGGCGCTCCGGCTTCAGTAGCTGCAACACTTGGGCTCAGTTGTTGGGGCTCCAACAACCCGGTTGGCTGAACCGGGTCTTAATTGCAACAGGCAGGATCTTGTGGTACAGCGTGTGGGATCTAATTCCCTGAACAGGGATCAAACCTGGGCCCCTTGCCCTGGAAGTATGGAGTCTTAGCTACTGGACCCCCAGGGAAGTCGTAGGGCACTTTGATATAACTGTGGAAAGCTCTATCTGGCTACCATGTGCAGTGTGGGTTGGAGGGGTTGAGACAGGCCAGGAGCCCAGGCAGGACTAGACCAGGGCAGAAAATACAATTGTGAGATGATGGAAAGGCCTGGTCACAGCCAGCACTCATAGAGCCTTTTTTTCTGTGCCAGACACTCCTCTAAGCTTTTCATTTGTTTTCATTTTGCATCTTTTCAATAGCTACTTTAAGTTATCATTCACATACCATACCATTCACCCATTTAAAGAATGTAATTCAATGGGTTTTAGTATATTCACAGACTCATGCAAACATCATCACAATCAATTTAGAACATTTCATCACTGCAAAAAGAAACCCCTAGAAGTCACTCCCCATTTTCCTGCTCAACCACTTCCCCAGCCCTAGGCAATCATTCATCTACTTTTTGTTTATATGGATTTGCCTGTTCCAGACCTTTCTTATAAATGGAAACATACATCATGTGACTCTTTATGACTGACTTCTTTCACTTAGCAGAAAGAATTTTTTCAAAGTTCATCTATATTGTAGCATATGTGTCGTTTCTTTTTATTGTTGAATACCATTGCGTTGGGCTTCTCTGGTAGCTTAGATGGTAAAGAATCTGCCTGCAATGCAGGAGACCCCGGTTCGATTCCTGGGTTGGGAAGATCTCCTGGAGAAGGGATAGGCCACCCACACCAGTGTTCATGGGCTTCCCTGGTGGCTCAAATGGTAAAGAATTTGCCTGCAATGTGGGAGATCTGGGCTTGATCCCTGGGAAGATCCTCTGGAGGAGGGCATGCATGGAAACCCACACCAGTTTTCTTGCCTGGAGAATCCCCATGGACAAAAGATCCTGGTGGGCCATGGGGTTACAAAGAGTTGGACTCGACTAAGCGACTAAGCACAGAACACCACCATTACATTATTTGCCTACACTACTTTTCTTTCTTTCTTTTTTACTTTTTGGCTGTGCCGTGTAGCATATGGGATCCTAGTTCCCTGACCAGGGATCAAACCTGCACCCTCTGTGCTGGAAGTGTGAAGTCTTAACCACTGGACTGCCAAGAAGTCCCTATACCACTTTAAAAAAAAGTTTTTTATTTATTTCTTTGGCTGTGCTGGGTCTTAGCTGAGGCATGTGGGATCTAATTCCCTGACTAGAAGCAAACCAGGCCCCTTGCACTGGGATCGCAGTCTTAGCCACTGGAGCAGCAGAGAAGTTCCTCCCTATACCACTTTTATTTATCCATTCCGTTGATGGGAACTTGGGTTGTTTCCACTTTGGGGCTATGATGACTAATGCCTCTATAAACATTCATGTACAGGTTTTGTGTGAACATGTGTTTTCATTTCTCTTGGCATATACCTAGGAGTCGAATTGCTGGGTCGTTGGGGTAACAATGGCTTCCCAGGTGGTGTAGTAGTAAACAGTCCGTCTGCCAGTGCATGAGACACGCAGGGGATGTGGGTTCCGTCCCTGGGTTGCGAAGATCCCTTGGGAAAGGGAATGGCAACCTACTTCACTATGCTTACTTGGAGAACCCCATGGACAGAGGAGCCTGGTAGGCTACAGCCCATGGGGTCACAAAGAGTTGGACACAACTGATCACAGGGGTAACAATACGTTTAACCTGAGGAACTGCCAGATTGTCTTCCAAAGCAACTGCATCATTCATCATCAGCAGTGTATGAAGGTTTCAATTTCCCTACAGGCACGCCGACAGTCATTGTGTGTTTTTGATTATAGTCCTCCTGGTGGGTATGAAATAGTATCTCGCTATGGTTTTGATTTGTATGATATTGAGTATCTTTTCATACGTTTATTGGCCATTTGTCTATCTTCTTTGGAGAAATGTCTATTCAGATCTTTTGCTCAGTTTTTAATATTCATCTTTTACTATCAAGTTGTAAGAGTTCTTTATGTATTCTAAATACAAGTCTCTCATCAGATATATGATTTGCAAAAGTTTTCTCCCATTCTGTGGGTTGTCTTTTCACTTTCTTGATAGTGTCCTTGAAAGCTTTTTTTTTTCCATTTCATTTTTCATTTTTTCACCAGTTTTTATTTTTCATTTTGATGATGTCCAGTGAATCTGTTTTCCCTTTTGTCACTTGTGGTTTTCGTGTCACTGCTAGGAAACCACTGCCTAATCAAATGGCACAGAGATTTATGCTTGTGTTTCCTTCTAGGAAAAGGAAAAGGAAATGGCAACCCACTCCAGTACTCTTGCCTACAAAATTGCATGGATAGAGGAGCCTGATGGGCTACAGTCCATGGGGTCGCAAAGAGTCCGACATGACTGAGCAACTTCACTTTCCTTCTAGGATTTTTATAGTTTTCAGTTCAGTTCAGTCACTCAGTCGTGTCCGACTCTTTTCGACCCCATGGACTGCAGTTTTAGCTCCTACCTTTAGATCTTTAATTTTGAGCTAATTTTCATATATGATGTGAGGTAGGGATCCAACTTTATTCTTTTACATATGGATATCCAGTTGTCCCCGCACCATTTGTTGAAAAGACTCTTCATTTCCCATTGAATTAATTGTCTTGGCACCCTTGTCAAAAATCAACCAACCACTTTAAACTTTTAGGAATACTATTTAAACCTACATCAATCCTATAAGGCAGAGACTATTATTGGTGTCATTTTACAAATGAAGGCTCTAAGGCTGGACAGGTTAAGTGGCCTGCCCATTGTCATGCAGCTAGCTAGTGGTAGGGACAGATAGAATTCAAAATCCGGGTTGCTTTGACAATTAGATAAGCTAATAAATATAAAGTACTTGGCACCTGGCATATAGTGAGTGCTCTATAAATATTATGTATCTTTATTTTTAAATTTTGTTTATTTTTGACTGCACTGGATCTCCGTTGCTCCAAAGACTTTTTTTCCCCCTCTCGTTGTGGCAAGAGGGCGCTACTCTCTAGTTGCTGTGAGTGGGCTTCTCATTGAGGTGGCTTCTCTTGTCGCCGAGCACCGGCTCCAGAGAGCGCAGGCTTCAGTCATTGCAGCGCCAGGGCTCAGCAGTTGTGGCTCCCTAGCTCTAGAGCACAGGCTCAGTAGTTGTGGCACATGGACTTGCTTGCTTCAGAGCATGTGGGATCTTCCCGGATCAGGGAAACCCATGTCTCCTGCATTGGCAGGCGGATTCTTTACCACTGAGCCACCAGGGAAGCCACTAAGTATCACTATTATCATCGTTGCCCCAGAGTATACAGATTTTTAATTATTTGTTTTTTAAATATATGATGACAAGTATCAAGGAAACTGGGACAGTTTTGTGGTTTTGCTTTTCCTTTATCATTTTCAGAACAATAGATTAATCCTCTGATAGCTACCAGTGATGACCAATGAACTTTCTTAGTTATCATTATGAATTCACATATTTTTATATATTTGATGTGCTTCCATTCTTTGCCATCTGTATTCTTTGGGACAAATCAGATTGCCTCTGATTGGTCCTGAGAACCCCTTCAAGTGGCTTCTGTGTCCTCTTGACCTCACTTCACCATTCTTTAAACCTCACATAGCTGGTGGTACAAGATGTTCCAGGCTCATCTTGTCTTCTCCCTGCCTGGGCCCAGCAAGTAGCCATTTCTTCAAGGAGCTCTGGTTCATTTTTCACGAGAATGCTATTTAGAGGCTGTGTTAATCAGCTCAGGCTGCTATAACAAAAATACCACAGACCAAGTGGCTTAATCAACACTCATTTCTCAGAGTTCCAGAGACTGGGAAGGTCAAGATCAAGGTACCAACTGGTTTGGTTTCTAGTGAGGGCCTGCTTCCTGGCTTGCAGATGGCTGCCTTCATGCTGTGTCCTCACACTGTAGAGAGAGAGTACCTTGGTCTTCCTCTTCTTGGGTGCAAGCATGCTAAGTTGCTTCAGTCATCTCTGACTCTGTGCGACCCCATGGACTGCAGCCTGCCAGGCTCCTCTGTCCAGGGGATTCTCCAGGCGAGAATACTGGAGGCGGTTGCCATGCCCTCCTCCAGGAGATCTTCCTGACCCAGGGATGGAACCTGTCGCTCCTGCATTGCAGGCAGATTCTTTACCACCGAGCCACCACGGAAGCCCCTTCCTCTTCTTAGGACACTAATCTCATTATGGGGACCCTACTCTCTATCTACCTTGATGACCTCATCTAAACCTAATTACCTCCCAAAGGCTGCATCTCCAAACACCATTCCACTGGGAGTTAGGGTTTCAGCATATGACACAAGCATTCAGCCCATGACAGAGACTACAACTACTGTTTGTTTTCAATATGCATAAACATTAATATATTTTGCCATTGTCTAAAGCAAATAAAGAAATATGTCGCTGGTAAACTTGATTTTTAAAAAAACTTATTTATTTATTTGATTGTACCAGGTCTTAGTTGGGGCATGTGAACTCTTAGCTGCCTCACCTGGGATCTAGTTCTTTGACCAGGAACTGAACCCAGGTGCCTGCAGTGGGAGCACGGAGTCTTAGCCACTGGACCACTAGGCAAGTCCCTGTTGGTTATAAACTTTAAAAAAGGAGTATTTGTGTGTGTGATGGTGGGGCCAAGGAACACAGAGTTATCCAAAATTCCTTTGGGAGGTCACATGCCAAAACAATATTCAAAATAAATGACCACTAAGACAGGACCCAGGGCTTCTCAGATGGCACTAGTTGTAAAGAACTTACCTGCCAATGCAGGAGATTTAAGAGATGCGGGTTCGATCCCTAGGTCGGGAAGATCCCCTGGAGGAGGGCATGGCAACCCACTCCAGTATTCTTGCCTGAAGAATCCCATGGACAGAGGAGCCTGGTGGGCTACAGTCCATGGGGTCACAAAGAGTCGGACACGACTTAACGACTTAGCACGCACACGTGCATGCAAGACAGGACCCAGCCCTTCAGAAGTAAGGCCCGGAGGACCAAACCCAATGATGAACATACTTGGAGGTACCTCAGCTTCCTCCAGGACCATGGACAGGTTAGGGTTAGGGTTAGGGAGACATAGACCAGTGTCATGATGAGCATTAACCCTTTAGTTGTTGCGGGGAGAAGGGAGTGGAGAAGTCGAGGAGATGAGAGGCAGAAAAAGGCATCAGGACAGATTATTTATGAACTGGCAGGGAGGTATCACCCTATTTTAACAATCAACTGTATGTATATCAACTGTGAGTATGCCAGCAAAAATGTTTGAAGATCGTGGTCTCAGAACAGGGGACTTGGGGGATGGATTTGGGGGTTCATGGCACCCTCCAGGACCAGCCCCTGGAGCCTAGGAGTGCCAGCCTGCAAGCCAACTGACCTGCCTCTCTGCCCTTCTTTGCAGGCTATGAGGTGACGGTGCTGGTGCGGGACCCCTCCAGGCTGCCCTCAGAAGGGCCCCAGCCAGCCCACGTGGTGGTGGGTGACGTCCGACAGCCAGCTGATGTGGACAAGACTGTGGCTGGGCAGGATGCTGTCGTCGTGCTGCTGGGCACTCGCAATGACCTCAGTACTGAGCCCCCGCTCTGCCCGCGGCCCACCCCTGCACCTCGGCCCCCAGCGCCGCCCCCGCCCCCAGCCCCTCCCCTGCCACCCCTGCCACCGCCGCCCCCCACCAGTGACAGCCACTCTCTGTCTCCTCTAAGGTCCTACCACAATGATGTCCGAGGGTGCCCAGAACATTGTGGCGGCCATGAAGGCCCATGGCGTGGACAAGGTCGTGGCCTGCACCTCGGGTGGGTGGCAGGATCATAGGGGTTGGGCCTGAGGAGTGGGAGCTGGGTACTGCACAGGCAGCCCCGGGGTTTCTACAAGGTGGCATTGGAGCTACTGCAAGTTGCTGTGCATTTATTGAGCACCAATTCTGCATCTGAACCTTGCTGAATGGTACCTGGGCCCTGCACTCATGGGTCTCATGAATAGAAGGGAAGTGGTAACAGCGTGATCATCAAACTGCGACAGGACAGAATAGTCAGGGCCAGGATGGGGGGCGGGGCACAGGCAGAGGGGTCAAGGCCAGGACCTGGGGGGAGCATGGGGAAAGGGATCAGAGCTGGGATGGGGGAAGCCTAGAGGATGCTGGGGGTTCGGAGGAGCTGTCTGACCAGCCTAAGAAGGGGTCAGGGAGAGCATGGAAGAGGAAGTGACAGAGCCTTGGATACATGGGCCAGGTCTTTACTCTCAAAGAGCTCCCAATTTACGAAGAGATGCCCTTCCTGAATAATCTGAAAAGAAGGCTGCAGGGTGTGTAACAGGAGCAGTTAATGCTAGCAGTGTTTGTTGAGCACTTACTCTGTGCTTGGCACCATCTGAGCACCTTACAGACAAATGCCACTTAATCCTCTCAGAATTCCTTTGATAGTGCTTCCATTCATGGTGGCACATCGTAGGTGCTCAGTGAATTGCAGCTGTTCTTACCGCCTCCCGTCTATAGTCAAGGGAGTGGAGGCCCAGAGAGGCCCATCGTCTTACCCGAGATCACACAGCCTGTAGCTGGCAGAGCTGGGGTGTGGAGCCAGGCTGTCTGTCTCTATCGCCCACACTCCTCACCTCTGTCGCATCATACCTGTTGTCTCCTAGGGAAGGGAGACGGCAGGAGGCGGGAGTGAGGAGAGGAAGGGACTGTGAGGCAGGGCGTAGCTGCAACAGAGCGAGTGAAGGGGAGAGTGTTGGGCGGTGAGGCCAGGGGGCTGATGCTATCAGATCAAGTGGGGCCCTGGGGCCCTGATGGGGCCTCTGCTCTCTCTCTGAGTGAGGTGGGGTTGGGGTAGGGTCCCAGATGTGCAGGGGTAGGGTCAGGAGAACAGGGAGGAGGCTCTGCCATGGTCTAGGCAGGAGGTAACAGCGGACAGGAGCAGGTGGGGTGAGAAGCCTGGAACAACTGAAGGGCAGTAATGAGTTCCTGCAGGGAGATGTTCTGGCAGGAGACCTGTGGGGTATGGGCCTGGCCAGGCTGTCCTCAAGTCTTGTCTGATCTTGCCCTGTGTCCCCGCAGCCTTCCTACTGTGGGACCCTTCCAAGGTGCCCCCAAGACTGCAGGATGTGACTGATGACCATGTCCGGATGCACAAGGTACTGCAGCAGTCGGGCCTGAAGTACGTGGCCGTGATGCCACCACATATAGGTGAGTGGACAGAGAGCCAACTGCAGGGTCAGCACCAGCCTGCCCCCTCCAGTCCTCTGGGGACATTCGCTGGGCCTTCCCTGTTGTTCAGTCGCTCAGTTGTGACCCCATGTACTGCAGCACACCAGGCTTCCCTGTCCTTCAAACTCATTTGCTCAAGCTCATGTGATGTTATCCAACTATCTCATTCTCATCCCTTCTCCTCCAGCCTGCAATCTTTCCCAGCATCAGGGTCTTTTCCATGAGTCGGCTCTTCACATCAGGTGGCCAAAGTATTGGAGCTTCAGCTTCAGCCTCAGTCCTTCTAGTGAATATTCAGGGCTGATTTCCTTTAGAATTGACTGGTTTGATCTCCTTGCAGTCCAAGAGACTCTCAAGAGTCTTCTCCAACACCAGAGTTCAAAAGCATCAATCAGTTCTTTGGCGCTCAGCCTTCTTTAAGGTCCAACTCTCACATCTGTACATGACTACTGATAAAACCATAGCTTTGACTATACAGCTTTGTAGACAAACTGATGTCTCTGCTTTTTAATACGCTGTCTAGGTTTGTTGAAATTGCAATCTCTCAGGACTTCTTCCACTGTACTCTCTTTATTAGAAGGAAGTTATACTGAGGCTGCCCCACATTCAAGAGATGGGAAGTTATGCTTCACATCGATTCTTTCTTCTTAAAACCCATGCATTAATTTGGCTCTGCCGCACGTCTTGTGGGATCTTAGTTACTCTGAAAGTGAAAGAAATTATTAATGCTCAGTCATGTCCGACTCTGCGACCCCATGGACTGTAGCCTGCCAGGCTCTCCTGTCTGTGGAATTCTCCAGGCAGGAATGCTGGAGTGGGTTGTCATTCCCTTCTCCAGGGGGTTTTCCTGATCCAGGGATCAAAACCAGGTCTCCTGCATTGCAGGCAGATTCTTTACTGTTTGAGCCTCTACCAGATATCAAACCTCTGCCCTCTTCAGTGGAAGTGCGAAGTGGTCACCCTGGACCACCAGGGAATTCCCTTGTTTTTTAATCTTATTTAGTGTGTGTCTCCCTCACTAGAATTGTGAAGTATGAAGCTTTGTTTGAAGGCACGTATTTTGTCTTGTTTTGATTACTGCTGTGCTCCTAGGGCCTAGAAAGGGCTTGGCACACACATTGTAAAACAATGTGCATGCTCAGTTGCTCAGTCCTGTCCTACTCTTGGCTCAGTCCTGTCCTACTCTTGGCTCAGACCCCATGGACTACGTAGCCCGCCAGTCTCCTCTGTCCATGAGATTCTCCAGTCAAGAATACTGGAGTGGGTTGCCATGATCTCCTCCAGGGGATCTTTCCAACCCAGGGGTTGAACCCACATCTCCTGCGTTTTTGGCATTGTAGGCAGATTCTTTTCCGCTGAGCCATTGGTTTGTAATAAGTGCTCAGTAAATATCTGTCAAATGAACTAATACCAGGGAAGATGCCTTGCCTCCAGGTGGTGCTGTGAAGGGAACCACACCCTCTTTACCCCTCCCTGGTCTGTTATTCACATTGAGAGACCCGAAGTCAGAGGGAGAGATTTGTTCGCTTACAAATGTCTCTTGCACAGGAGGTGTGCACCTGGCCACCATTACAAGTACCAATGGGAATTCTCGGGGAGTTCAGTGGTTAGGACTCCAAGCTTTCACTGGCTTTGACTACCCAGGGCCCAGAGTTTGATCCCTGGTTAGGGAACAGAGATCCCACAAGCTGCGTGATGAGGCCAAAAAAATAAAACAAGTATCACTGACATAGTCTCTGATCTCACAAGGCTTACATTTCTAGTGGGAGAGACAAAAGAAAGATGTGAAAGAGCAAGTTAATAGTCGCTCAGTCATGTCCAAGTCTTTGGAACCCATGGACTGTAGCCCACCAGGCTTCTCTGTCCATGGAATTCTCCAGGCAAGAATACTGGAGTGGGTAGCCCTTCCCTTCTTCAGGGGATCTTCTCAACCCCAGGACTGAACCCAGGTCTCCTGCATTGCAAGCAGATTCTTTTACCATCTGAGCCACCAGGGAAGCCCAGACGAAAGATAGATGGGTGGTGCTATGCTGAATGAAGAAACATACGTTAATAGTTCAGGAAGAGAGTAATGGGGTGCTGCTTAGAGCAGAGGCTTTCTAAGGACACGGCTTCGTGCCCTGAGGGAGGGAACCAGGTGAGTGTCTGGGGGAAGGGAGGACATTCTGGGATGAGGGAACAGCAGTGCCCAGGCCTGAGTCGGGAGCTGTTATCTCCTTCCTCTGTGCTTGCCTGCTGGATGAGCAGTTCTGTGCCCTGTGCCTTCTGCCTGGAGGAGGAGGTGGCTTGTATACCACCCTCCAGAGGTTCAGGTAAGCTTCGATGCTGAGGTTCAGTTCAGGGACCCTGTTGGGATGAGAATCCTGAGCTGTCAATCAGCGGTGAGGCTGCATGGTGGAGAAGCCAAGGAGAGCTCCAACCCCAGCGCTGTGTAGACTTCAGGCCTGTGACCTCTGAGCCTCAGTTTCCTCATCTCGAAACAGGGCTCGTATTACTTCTTGACCTCCCAGGTTTAAAGTGAATATTCAGAGAGATTAAGCCTAAAAATTATTTAACATGAAGTTGTGGGGATTTTTTTTAGTTCTTTTTTTGTGTGAGTATGAAAACTTTGAAACCTCCAGAAAAGTTAAGAAATCAAGGTTTAAGAATTACCTATAAACCCTTCATCTGGGTTCACTTGTTAACATTTTGGCTTCTTTCTTTTCCCCATCTATCTATTTATCACTTATGCGTGCAGCTAATGTGTATGTGTATTTGTGTGAATACATGTGTAGGGGCTTCCCAGGTGGTGCCAGTCATAAAGAATCCACCTGCCAATGCAGGCAGATGTAGAGACATGAGTTTGACCCCTGGGTTGGGAAGATTCCCCTGAAAGAGGGTATGGCAACACACTCCAGCATTCTTGCCTGGAGAATCCCATGGGCAGAGGAGTCTGGGCTACAATCCATGGGGCTGCAAAGAATTGGACACGACTTAAACGACTTAGCACACAATGTACATGTGTGATTATGTGAATATATATGTAGTGTATATACATACATTTTTTAAAATGTGTGTGTCTACTTTGGCACACTCTACTCCTAGAACCTCTTGGTAGGCATCTTCCAAGAAGAAGTATTTGGAAACAAACCCCAGTACGGTTATTGCACTAAGGGAATTGACATTTACTCTATCACATCATTTAGTATCCACTCCGTACTCAGACATACCCAACTGCCGAAAAATATCTCCCAACCTTCCCCTCCCCTCAAAATCAGGATCCAATCCAGGATCATGTGTTGTGTTTAGTTGGCATGTCACCTTCAATCTAGAACAATCCTCCATATCATTTTTTTAAAATTATTTTTTAACATGAAACATAACGGGCAAGGTGTCTTTTCTTTTTACATATATATCCATTCTTTTATTTTTGAATTTATTTTTAATTGAAGGATAATTGCTTTACAATATTGGTTTGACTTCTGCCGTACATCAACATGAATTAGCCATAGGTGTGCATATGTCCCCTCCCTCTTGAATCCATTCTTTTTAATATTATTTTCTATTATGGCTTATCCCAGGACATTGAATATAGTTCCCTGTGCTAAATAGTAGGATTTTGTTGTCCCAGATATCTTTTAAAATATTCCACATTCTGGATTTCTGTCATTACAGAAATTCCTGTCTTACAGGCTCAGATTAAATATTTTTGCCAGGAATGCCACATGGGTGACAGTGCATGTTTCTTTCCTCTTTTTCTTTTTTTTTTCCAATTTATTTATTTGGTTGCTCTGGGTTTTCCTTTCTGTGACTTGGCTTTCTCTAGTTGCAGCAAGCGGGAGGTAATCTTCGGTGCTTGTGCTTCTCATTGCAGTGGCTTCTCTTGTTGTGGAGCATGGGCTCTAGGCTTTTGGGCTCTGTAGTTGTTCCCACAGGCTTAGTAGCTCTGAGATGTGTGGGATCTTCCTGGACCAGGGATTGAACCCGAGTCCCCTGCATTGACAAGCAGATTCTGAACCACCGGACAACCAGGGAAGCCTAGCTCTTATACCGTCTTCTACCATCTGGGCTAGGCACTCTGTAGACACCCTAGGATATCACTGGCATGATCACGAGTTGGGGGAGAAGAAAGGTCATCTGCTTTACCCGGCCCCTCTGTCTTTACCTTGCAGGAGACCACCCGTTGACTGGGGCCTACACAGTGACCCTGGATGGACGAGGGCCCTCGAGGGTCATCTCCAAACACGACCTGGGCCACTTCATGCTGCGCTGCCTCACCACCGATGAGTACGATGGGCACAGCACCTACCCCTCCCATGTGTATGAATAGGGCTCTGGCCCTGTCCGGGAGGACAGCATCCTGTGAAACAGAGAAAAAGGAAGGGGGCAATAAATCTAGAGCCAAGAGCTTCAAATTACTCTAGAGGATCCACATCTATCTGAGTGTCCCAGTGTCTCTGTCTGCCTCTGTGAGATTTTTCTGGGTATTCATTCATTCACTTCCTCTCTTGGTTCTGTGCCAGGGACCCAGGGGTGACTGTGTGGACCTAGCAGTGACACTGCCCTCATAGATCTCACAGTCCAGGGGGGAAGACAGTCCTGCCCCTGCCAGTGACAACACAGTGGCCAGAACCCTGATGGAGGAAGCACAGAGGGCTGAGGGACCCAGCTTGAGGTGCAGACAGGGTTCTGTGGAAGAGCAGATGTCCCACCTGAAACCTGATTTAGTGAGAATGAGCCGGGAGAGGGTTCTAAGACATTATGACATTCTAGGCAGAAGATACCACTTGAGCCAGGTGACTGGCACCTTTGAAGAACTCAGATCTATCCCCTACAGTTAATAACACTTTGCTAGGAGGAGAGGGCTTCCCTGGTGGCTCAGACGATAAAAAATTCACCTGCAATGCAGGTTCCATCCCTGGGTTGGGAAGATCCCCTGGAGAAGGGAAACCCGCTCCGGTATTGCCTGGAGAATCCCATGGACAGAGGAGCCTGGTGAGCTACAGTCCATGGGGTTGCAAAGAGTTGGACACCACTGAGTGACAGACACTTTTCACTTTCGCTTGGAAGAGAAGAGCAATCAGCCCCAAGAGAGCCTGTTCAAAGGACACGAAACTGTTCGGAATCATTGTAAAAAGTCTAAACTTCAGTCTAAGGTGTTGTGCAAGGAGTGGAGCAGGGGAGACACAGGGAGGGGGCACAGTCAGGTGTGTATTTTATAAAGCTTCCCTTGGCAACTATGTGACGATGGATCAGGGGATGAAAGAGCAGAGGCTGGGAACCCAGGTGCCCAGAGGTAGAGAAGGGAGAGTGGGTGGGAGAGAGTCTTGAGTGGACAGTTCTCTGATGAGGGGAAGGAGGCATCTAGGAAGAAGCCTGGGGCTATATCCTGGAGATGGGGTTCTAGTGTCACCCTGTGAAGGGAACCCTGGAGGGGCAAGTTTGAGAGGAGGAAGGGGAAGAATTGCCCCCCCCCTTTCCTAAACATGTCCCTCTTTGGAATCTACTCTCCCCAACCTTTGTTACCCAGAGACACCTCTCCCAAGCCTGAGCAAGACACTCCTCTCTCCCTACCTCCAGCCTCTTCCCACCTAACTCCCAAATCTCTCTCCCGTCCATACCCCACCCTCAATCCATTCCAATCCTGCACTTCTGCAAACAGCTGAACAACTTGGTTAACAAATTCCAGCCAGTGAGAACTGGCCTGAGGAAACTTAAACCTTCCTTCCCAGGGGTGGCCTGGAGAAAATTGCCTTCTTCCCTTGGTGAGAGCGTGTAGGGGTGGGACAAGGCTGGTTCAGGCTTTCCCGGCACTACCACTGTTATATTTCTGCCCTCTTATTTCTTTCAATCACATTGTTTGGGCATTTTACAAACTTTCACTGGGTACCTGCTTTGTGTCTAGCCTTGTGGGAGGTGATGCTGTGGCCCAAGCAGTGGGAGCCTGAGATAACCTTGGTATACGTCGTCAGAGGGTCCACAGTCTAGATAGTGACAGCCCAGGGCCAAGATGCAGTGGCAGGGCCAGAAGACTCAGAGCCGGGATGGGGAAAACACAGGACACCATGGAAGCCCAGAAAGGGCCCCAACTCATCCTGGAGCTTCAAGGGGGGCTTCCGAGAGAAGGAATCCTTTGGAATGAGTTTCCAACGAGAATTTTGGGTTCTGGGGAATGAGGGTGTGTTTTCAGGATGGGGATGCAAGTTTAAAGATCCAGAGGCCTTTTTTTCCCCCTTCCAATTCTCAGTACTTTCTGTGTATCTGGGATTGTTGTAGGCGCTGAGGATAAAGCAGGGAAGAAAACAGAATTTCTGTGTTCTTGGTGGTGGAGTGCACTTGAAGCCATTTTAGAAATACAGAAAGTCAAAGGGTGTGGCAGGATTTTAGCGAGCAAGCAGGAGATTGTATCTGGCCAGACCTGAAGAGCTTTGAGACAAAAATGAGATTGAACTTTGTCCCCATGACAGTGGGGAGCCATAAACCAGTCTCCAGCAGCAGACGTGCCACCCTGAGAGCGGAAAGACGGGGCATTAGGAAGACGCACGAGGAAGCACCAGAAGACAGGCCGGAGAAGTCCTTATAAGAAGAAGGCTTCGGTTAAAGTGTGAGGGGCAGGACAGGGGAGGCGAGCGGCGGGGCTGCGGTCGCCCTGGCAACATAGGTCGCGCCAAACTATTGGCTGATCTTCAATGCGTCATCCTCCCCGCTGCGTCCGCCCTCTGAATCCAATGGGCGCGGCCTCAGCGAGAGGTTCAGCCCCTCCCGCCCCGAAAGCGGGGTGGAGTGAAGAGTGCCAGCCAGTTCTTGCTTTGCAACGCGGTCCTGGCCTAGTATAAAAGGATCGCAGAGAGCAAAGATGACAATCTTGGAGTGAAGATAGTAACTAAGTTAAAGGAAAGAGCGTCGATGTGCCCTCCACTCTGTAGAGACGTGGCCCCGGCAGGCTAGTCGAAATCCTTTAATTGGTCCGCGAAGCAAGGGAGGGGAGGGCGGGTGGGGCGTCTCCTGGCGACAAGCGGGTGGCCCCGCCCAGCCAATCCGCGCCCCGCGGCCGGCAGGACTCCAGCCAATCGTGACTCGCGGCTCGGCTCCCGGGCGGAGCTGGGTGGGCCTGAGACCAGGGTGAGAGGCCCGGGGGAGGTGAACGGGGCCCCTACCCAACGCTGGAGGGTCGCTAAGCCGCGGGCGTTCCCGGAGGTGGTTGTTGCGAACCTGGCAGCTGAGGTGAGGTGTGGCTACCTGGTTTGGGATCTGCCTTGAGTTGAGGGAGGTGGAGGCGCTCCCTCGAGAGTTGTGGAGGCGGGGTATGAGCGAGAGTAGGGGGCGCAGATTCAGGGTGATAATAGGGGTTGGAGAGAGGGTTTAGGGACTGGGGGTTTCGAGATCTTTGCACGGAAGACAGAGTTTTGGGGGTGGGGGTGGCAAAATCTTCAAGTGTAGGAAGTTTGAAGCTGGGACATAGGGTGTTTGGAGAAGCGAGAAAACTAGAGAAGGGAATTTTGGGGTAGGAAACTAAAAATTAGGACAGTTTGGGTCTCTGGGACAGGTTGAATTCGGGACTCTAGTGTTTAGGGAAAGGTGTGATGGGTTGGGCTGGGATCCTGGACATTTGGAGAAGCGAGAGAAGTAGGGGCAAGGACTCTGGGTCTCCCAGACGCAGTGTAGGAGAGCGGGCTCTGGGGAGAGTTCCCTGACGGGTCTTGGAAGTCACAGTGGGAGACTGGAGGTGAAGTCGAAAAGACGGGAGAATAGAGGAACGTTGACGGGAGACGGTCTAGTAACTGAGATACTTAGTGTCCCGAACGGAGTGAATCGGAGCGCATTTATAAGTCTTTGAGCGTCGTGCTGGGGACCTGGGTCTCTGGGCCCGAGAGCAGCCTGAGCGAAGAATTCAGGACCTTCTGCGGTTCCAAAGGGCCGGGAGAAAGCAGTTTTAGAGCCAAAGTCTGGAGTGGGGGAGGGGTGTTCAGGGCGTGGAGCTCAGACCCGCAGCCCAGGAGGCAGCGGAGGGCGGGGCTTGGCAATCGCCAGGCAGCTGGACGTCCGGGTTCCCTTCCCCCATGTACCCTGGGCCCCTGTGCGCATGCCCCGGGGAGGGGGGGGGTAGGCGGGGAAGGCTAGTCCCTGCGGCATGCGGAGCCCTCCGGGGGTTGTAGTGCTTGCTCTACGTCAGTTCGTGTACCTGGTGGCTATTGGCCCACATTTCCCAGAAGCCCCTGGGCCAAATTGGGGCGTGTCTGAAGGCTGAAAGGGGAACAGTAAAGGGGGCGGGGCCTGTAGAGGGCCGAGATCTGGTTGGATGGACTGGTGGGGGCGGGGCTTGGCGTGAGTCAGTTCTAGCAAGTTTTCCTCTGAGGCTCGCCCAGGGGGAACCTGAAGGCCTCAACAGAGGGAATGAGGGAGGCCCCATACCTTGTCGTTGGGCGCGCTCCCAGTCAGTTAGGATGAGGGCATGGACAGAAATATCTTCCATGTGAAAGAAGTGTCTTCACAGATAGGTGCCTTAACAGGGCTCCAGGTGGTTGGAATGTAGCAGGCACTCACAATATTTCATAATAGCAGTTAACTCTCGTTCATTAAAGTGCGTAATGTCACATTACTTCCCAAGATCACACAACTGAGCAGTGTGAAAAAGCAGAATTCAAACCCAGGATTCTCTGCTTCAAGGCAATATCTTTGTGCTCAGCACAAAGTCTTGTATCTGTCACACTTGAAGAAAAGAGTATTGTGGAAAGAACAGCTTTAAGATTTAGGGGGACTTGAGTTAGGATCCTCATCTTGCAGATGAGGAAATTTGAGTCTCAAGGAGTTAAACTCACTGAGGCAACATGGGCAAGTAAGTGGGATTCAAACCCAGCTGTATTTAAGTCCAGATTTTGGCGGGGTTTGTTTTTTTGTGTTTTTTTATCTGTTTATTTGGCTGCACTGGGTCTTGATTGAAGCATGTGGATCTTCTGTCTTCCTTGCGGCATGCAAACTTTTAGTTGTGGCATTGGGATGTAGTTGCCTGACCAGGGATCAAACCTGGGCCCCCTACATTGGGAATGTGAAGTCTTAGCCACTGGACCACCAGGGAAGTCCTGGGATCGAATTTTCTTTTTGGGGGGGGGGATCTAATTTTCTTAATCACATACATTGACTCTTCTTCTTAGCCTTGTGGGACTCATACCAACTTCATTTTTAGATGCAGAAACTGAAGTTTGGATCATTACAAATCAACAACAGTCATACTAGAGATTCGGGATTTGAATTAGCCCTGCTGTGTCTTATTTGCCCCTCTTCTCTCCCTAGGGCATCATGGTAGGAGGCTTGAAGAGGAAGCACTCAGATCTGGAGGAAGAAGAAGAGGATGAGAAGTGGGATTGGAGTCCGGCAGGCCTGCGGAGCTACCAGCAAGCCCTGCTCCGCATCTCCCTAGACAAAGTCCAGCGAAGCCTGGGCCCCCGAGCACCCAGCCTTCGCAGGCACGTCCTCATCCACAACACCCTCCAGCAGCTCCAAGCAGCACTTTGCCTGACTCCTGCACCTGCCCTGCCCCCAGAGCCCCTCTTCCTGGGCGAGGAGGACTTCTCGCTGTCGGCAACCATTGGCTCTATTCTCCGGGAGCTGGAGACCTCCATGGATGAGACTGAGCCACCTCAGAATCCAGAAGCTCCCCCAAGCCCCCAGAATGAGGTGCTTCCCCAGCCCGATCCAGTCTTTTTAGAAGCTCTGAGCTCCCGGTACCTGGGGGATTCAGGCCTGGATGACTTCTTCCTGGACATCGACACATCCGCAGTGGAAAAGGAGCCTGCAATGGCCCCACCAGAACCTCCTCACAACCTTTTCTGCGCCCCGGGGTCCTGGGAATGGAATGAACTAGATCACATCATGGAAATCATTCTGGGATCCTAAAACTTTGATGGGGGGCGGGGGAGGGCTCCTTCCTCATCCCAGCCTTGGTGGGCTGACTCCCTGGATGCAATTCTGTGTGTGTATGTGTGTTGATGGGGCCTCTGAGCAGTGGCCTCCTCTCCTCCCACTTCAGGGTTCCACAAATTGTCTTGCATGTGTGTGTGTCTGGTTATCAAAGCCTTCTGTGAAGGTGGGTCTTCCTGAATTAATTTATCTGTTCCAAATGCCTTAATGAGACTCTGTTTCCAGGAGTCTGATTTCCCACTTCCACATTTCTTCTGCCTTTCCCTCTAGTTCCGACTCCCCTTGTGTCCACTGGGGCCTCAGGGAAGATAAGCTGGGCCTGTCAAAGGATGACAGGGATGTACTACCTGGTTGCTATGGAAACCCAGCCTCTGCCTGGTGGCACCTCCAGGTAGTGGGAGAGGCTGGCCTCCTCCCCCAGGCTGAACCCCACCTCCTTCGCAGGACCCCAGTCCCAGCAGCCTCCTGATTCATGACCAGGCCGGACCACGTGCAATAGGGTGGAAACCAAACTGCTCCATGCCGCATTATTTAAAAGAAAAGCGGGTTTTGTGGTGTTTTTGTTTGTTTGTTTGTTTTGATTGTTTGTAATGATTTTTTTTTTTTTTAATAAAAGTATTTTGGAAGGGGTGATGCCTAAAGCTTCTTCAGTAGGTCAGTGGGAGGGACCTCATATCCCTTAGGGGCATGTACCCCTTCCCAGTCAAAGTTGGGGCAGGTATATTATTGGATACAATATTTATTGAATGTTAAGACCACTAACATTGAATGCTAAGAGTGCTGTTCTACCTACTTTATTTGAATTAAGTCATCTCATCCTCATGATTATACTGAAATAGATACTGTTACCGCATTTTACATAAGAAGAGCCTAAGGTTCAGAGAGGCCAAGTCTCTTGCTCAGGAAGAGTAAGGACCAAGGAGCTAGAACTCAAATTCAGGCTACCTCCAGAGCCTTCTTAACTATTATATTCATTGCTTCTTTGTAGATTTAGACTCCCCAGACACATGGTGGACACAGGAAGGAGAAAGTAGGTCACATGAATTACATGTCAAAGGATAGGGCTGTCTGGCACTTAAAAGTCAACCCTTTGAGATTTCCCTGGCTGTCGAGAGGCTAAAACTCTGTGCTCGAAAGGCAGGGGACTCAGGTTCAAGCCTGAGTCAGAGAACTAGATCCCACATAACACAACTAAGAGTTCAATGCTGTAACTACATATCCTGCATGCTACAACTAACACTTGGCACAGCCAGATAGATAGATATTTTTAAACGAAAAAAATAATAAAAATCAGCCCTTTTATTGTAGGAAATGTGCTACAGAGGCCCAGAGGAGAAAGAAAATGCTCAGAGATCCCCAGCACTAACAGCAGATCTTTCTACAAAACTTGGCTAGGAAGTACAGTCCAGGCTAAAGTTAGTGGTTCCAATGATTTATTTAGGAGGTGCAAGTCCAGGCTGGCAAGAGTAGGGGAAAGAAGGGAGGCCAGGGAAGATCTGATGTATACTGCTGCACCGGCTAGGCTTCCACAGAGACCTTTGAAAACATGGCAACAGGTAAGTTTATGTTACATATAGGGACTTTTCTGAAAAGGATACAAGGAGGAACCACTTGTGGGTATAACATGCAGGGAAAGGAAGGGGATTTTGCTTTTGCTTTCTGGCTCAAAGCCAGATTTCCACCCTGAGAGAGGCATTGCATCTAACTCTGAAAACAGCTGGGTAACTGACAGGTGGGTGCCAATCCGGAGAAAGAAAGGAGGTGGTCAAGGGGATCTCCAGAAGACACACGAGGCCCACATCTTAATGTGGATGCCCGTGTCTAACTCCTACTTAAATCTTTAGGTGACTTCTTGCTCACTCAGTCGTGTCTGACTCTGCCACCCCATGGACGCAGTCCTTCAGGCTGCTCTGTCCATGGGATTATCCCAGCAAGAATACTGGAGTGGGTTGCCATTTCCTCTTCCAGGGGATCTTCCCGACCCAGGGATCAAACACAACTCTGCGTCTCCCACATTGGCAGCCAGGTTCTTTACCACTAAGCCATCGGGAAACCCACGCTTGAAAGAAAACCCCAACCTATGCAAGGCCTGACAATCTTGCACCTAGCTTCCCCAGTTTTAGCTCTGATTCTCCCCTCCTCACACAACTCCAGTTGACCCCAGGGCTTTTGCACCTGCTGTTAACTGCCCAGAGGACACTTCCTGCATAAGTTCACTCATTCAAATGTCTCCTTCTCAGAAAGGTCTTCCCCACCCTTCCTAGCTCAACATGTCCAGGTGCTCCCCCCACCCCAACCCCACTTCACATTGTTTGACTTTATTAGTAGTACCTTGTGCTCAGTCACTCAGTCCTGTCCGACTCTTTGTGACCCTTTGGACTGTAGCCTGCCAGGCTCCTCTGTCCAGGATCCCGCCTCTTTCCAGGCAAGGATATTAGATTGGGTTGCCATTTTCTCCTCAAGGGGATCTTCCCAACCCAGGGATGGAACCAGAGCCTTTTGAGCTTCCTGCATTGCAGACAGATTCTTTACCACTGAGCCATCAAGGAATCCCTAGTAGTACCTATCCAAGCTCAAGTTATTTATGACCTCTTTATGGTTAGGCTCCTGGTCTGTTGGAGAAATCTCTCAGAGGAAGGGGTTGGATACTGCACAGAACTACCCTTGGCACAGGTGGGCAGTCAAATTTTTTCTTTTTTTTTTTCTTTTTGCTGTTGTTGAGAAGATGAACTTCCAATCTTGAGATAGCCATACGTCCCTGCCACCTCTCTCAACTCACCTCCCCCATACCATTTTCTGATGCTCTTCAAACACACCATGTCCCACCCTCAACACCATGAGTAGTATCTGCCTCACTGAGCGATCATGCAAAGTGTGTAAGAGGGTGCTTGCTGCACACCAAAGATTCCACTAATTGCTCAAATTTACTGAGGGCCTATGTGGACATGGCACTCTTCCAAAAACATGAACAAAATAGAGTTCCTGCTCTCATAAAACATCATCGTGGGAGAGGCTGAAATATACACTGAAATAAACAGTAAAATGTAGTCTGTCAAAAAAAAAAAATGTAGTCTGTCAAGTGGTGGCAAATGTTACAAAGACAAAGCAAGAAAGTGATGGGGCTGTTGCTATTTTGATGGGAGACCAAAGAAGGCCTCACTGACAAGATGAAATTTCTTTGTGAATCTGTGGGGATACAATCCCAATAACAGGAACAGCCAGTGCAAAGGCCCTGTGGTCAGAGCAATAGTTGAGTGTTTGAAGGACCATTTGAAGGTCAGTGGAGCTTCCCAGGTGGAGCTAGTAGTAAAGAACCCATCTGCCAATGCAAGATGTAAGAGACTCAGATTCAATCCCTGGGTTGGGAAGATCCCCTGGAGAAGGGCATGGCAACCCACTCCAGTATTCTTGCCTGGAGAATCCCATGGACAGAGGAGCCTGGTGGGCTACAGTGCATGGGCTAGCAAAGAGTCAGACACGACTGAATAACTTTGCAAGCATCCATGTGGCTAGAGTAGAGACAGCAAGGAGGAGAGTATTAGGAGATGAGATGATAGAGTTTGAGGGGGCAAGTCCTGTAGGGTGTTGTGGAGTCCCATAGAGAGGGCTAGAGCTTTACCCTGAGTGAGACGGAAGGCATGGCAGGGTGTGGGGCTGTGCAGGAAGGAGACCTGACTCACTCCCCCCACCCCCCAATATTTATTTATTTATTTGGCTGTGCATGTAGAATCTTTAGTTTTGACACACCAGATCTTTTAGCTGCAGCATGGGAATTCTTGCTTCTGGCATTTTGGATCTAATTCCCTGACCAGAGTTCGAACCCTGCCCACCTGCATTGCAAGCAGGATGTCTTAGCTAGGAACCACCAGGAAGTCCCCTGACTCACTTTTACATGGACTCTGTTTGCCCTGAACATACAGGTGTACGCTTAGTCGCTCAGTCGTGTCTGACTCTGCGACCCCATGGACTGTTGCCCGCCAGGCTCCTCTGTCCATGAGATTCTCCAGGCAAGAATACTGGAGTGGGTTGCTATACCCTCCTCCAGAGGATCTTCCCAAACCAGGGATCGATCCCAGGTCTCCCGCATACCAGGGAAGCCCAAAAATACAGGAGTCATGAGGCATCATGGAGTTTGTTAGGACCACGATGAGGCCAGTATGAGGAGCACGTCCACTTTCCAGATGACCAAACTGAGGCTCAGAGAGGCCCAGCCACAGCCGTCAGAAAACTGGCGAGAGAAGTGGAAGGGCTGGCCCCTCAGAGGGAATCGGGCCCCCGAGGGCAGAGTCCGCCTTCCGCAATCTGCCCTCTCGCCTTGGTCCCGCGTTGGGGGAAGGGCCTCAGCCACCTTGGTCCCTCCCACCTGCCTACTCGGCCCGGGAGCCGGGCCGGCGCCTCCCCTCTCCCCAGGGGCGGGGTGGTGCGGCCGGCTGGAGGCGGGGCGATCCCCCGAACGCCCCCGCCCCGCTCCCTCCGCTGCTGGCGGAGGCTCCTCCCTAGGCCTGCCGGGACGGTGGCTCCGCTTCTGGTTTCATTTCTCAAGGCCCGGACTCTCTCTTTCCCTCTGCCTAGCCCTTTGAATTTCTTCTCCACTTTCTGATTTCAGCTCTTAAGTCACCTCCTCAGGGAGGCTCTCCCGGACCACTCCGGCTGCAGGTAGCTCTCCCCTAGCCTCTGTATTATCCTGTCCTATTTGTTTGTGTGTTTTTTTTTAAAGTCACTGAACAGAAGCAGAAAGTATCTTCCTCATTTAGTCATTTTCCAGGGTCTTCTCATCCCACTCAATAAAAACAAAGGTCCGCAGAGTGCTCTGAAGGGCCTGAAAACTTCTCTGACTTCCTCCCTGGCCGCAGAGACGGTATCTCCCCAGCTCAGGGCCTTTGCACTGGCCCTTTGCTCTGATTGGAACGCTTCTTCCAGAGCTTTACCACCTCTCCCACTTCATCAAGTCTCTACTCAATGGATGTCACCTCTTCAGAGAAACCCTCCACCACCAGCTGTTTGTCCAAACTGCACCCTCTTTCATTACTCTTCTGCTCTGCTTTTCCTTTTCACTTATCACCCTCTAAGATACTAAATCATTGCTTTATTCAGCTTGTTGTTCACCTCCTCATATCAGGGATTTCTGTTTATAATGTTCCGGCTGTATCTTCAGTGCCTGGCACACAGAAAGTGCTCAATTCGTTTTCCTATTTCTTTTCTGTTTCCACTCCATCCATCTCCTATTCCACGAGAAGACAGACCCTGTGAGGCGTATCAAGTGCTGTGCCCCCATTGTCTACAACTGCCCACCACATACTAGGTGCTCAATGCTGTTGCTGCTGATGTCGCTTCAGTCGTGTCCGACTCTGTGCGACCCCATAGACGGTAGCCCACCAGGCTCCCCCGTCCCTGGGATTCTCCAGGCAAGAACACTGGAGTGGGTTGCCATTTCCTTCTCCAATGCATGAAAGTGAAAAGTGAAAGTGAAGTCACTCAGTGTATCTGACTCTCTGCGACCCCATGGACTGCAGCTCACCAGGCTCCTCCGTCCATGGGATTTTCCAGGCAAGAGTACTGGAGTGGGTTGCCGTTGCCTTCTCCAGGTGCTCAATAAACCCACCCTAATCAGATGCCTATGAGCTCTTCTTCTCTTTATGACCTGGAAAGAGCCACTTGGAGACTGAGTCACCTTTTTCCAGGTTAAAAAGATAGTTATGTGAATTTACCTAACAGGGGCTTGGTTCTAATTTGCATTTTACCCTTATTCATTTTGAAAATTTTCAAGCACAGAAAAAATATGAAAAAGAAAAGTATGTCTTCTGAGCACTTGAATACCCTCTCACCTAGATTTAGTTGATAACATTCTGTTTCCTTTATTTGAATATGTGTATGTATAGATGTATGTTTTTTTCTTTTGCTGAACCACTGGAGAGTATATTGCAGACATCTGAACATTGTACCCCTAATAGCTCAGCAGGCATATTTTAAGATTAAGATTAAGGATGCTCAACTACAAACCACAGTCCTATTGCACATGTGACAGAATTAAGAATTTCATAATATCACCTAGTATCCAGCCTATATTCGAATTTGCCCAATTTTCTCAAGAACATCCTTTATAGAATTTACCAGCAAACTAGAGTCTAAGGGAGGTTCACATGCCTATTTGGTTGTAACAAAGAAATTATACAGCATCTTTTATTCTGAAACATCCTCCCTCTAACCTCACTAATCCCTTTCTGTGGTTTCTTGAAATTGAATTTTTGGAAGAACAACCCAGTTGTGCTGTAGACTTCTCACATTGTGTATTTGTCTGATTGTTTTTGTGTTTAATATTGTCACTGTCTGTTCCCTGTAAGCTGAAGTTTGGGCCTAGATGCTTGAGACTCACTTTATGAAATGTAACAGGGAAACTCCACAACGAATGTTGTGTACTGCCTAATGCATCACATCAGGTACCACCCAGTGTCCGGGCATCCCACTGCTGTGGATGCAAAGTTTCATTATATAGCTAAGGTGCTGAGCACCTCCTCTTCCCATCATAAAAGGATATTTCCCCCTTTGCAGTTAGCAAGGAATCTGTGGGATGATGCTTTGGAAACTGTCGAGATCCTGTTCCCCATTAACTTTTCACCCTCAAGGGTGAGCATCCATTGAAAATGGTTGCCTGAATCAAGTAGTTGAGTTAGCATTTTTGATAGCTTACTTTGGTCAGAAGATTTATTCACAAACAGTTTGTTTTTCCCCTTAGCAAATGAGGTATTTGAAGAAGGTAAGTCCCATTGTCAGTTTATCTGACATGTATTAAACTTCTGTCCACCTGCACCCCACCCTGAATGTCTCCCCTTGAACTGAGCACCTGTGCTATCACTACAACACTACTGCTGAAAAAAGGACACCTAAGACACCACTCAGCATTGTGCAGGAATTGTTTAATCCTCAAAACAATCCTCTGAGCCAGAGGCTATTTCTCTCATTTTAAAAAAATAAGGGAGAAAACCTAAAGAATTAAAACACTTGGTCAAGGTCACACAGCTATTGTACTCACGGAATGGAGCCCAGGAAGGGAGTCCAGGTCCATTCCCCTCCCTACCCTAACTCCCGTCTGTAACCACGATTGAGTTCAACTACCCAGAATTTGCTTATATAGTGCTCTTGCAGATAATACCTTACTGTAAGTTTCCCAACTCTCAAGAGGTAAGCAAAAAGATCCCCCTTTAACAGACTCTGTGGGCTCAGAAACCAGAATTTGAACCCAGGACTAAGCTGGCCTAGAGTGTAGACGCCTGTTGGGGCTGCTTGCGTAAGCTCAATTATTGGGTTTGACAAGTGCGTGGGCAGATGTGAGGGGGCCCACAGCTTGAGAGACAAAAACCCCACCGCGCTTCAGTCCTACAGGGCCAGGAGCCACCCTGTCTTCCTCCTCCCTTCAAGCAGTCTCCCGGACATGCGCCGTAAAGACAACTCGCCCCTCTTTCTAGCCTGCCTTCTACAGGCTCCGCCCATCACTGTCTAGGACCAATCCCTGGGCGAAGGGCGGGGCTGCCACGGGAGTGGGCGGTAACTAAGGGGAGTCAGGGGCCGGGAGTCGTGAGCTGGAGTCAGAACTGCGTCTCTCAACCCAGGCGCCGGTTGCTGAAGGAGAGCGGGCGAGCAATGCTGCCGCCACCCCTTCCTGATTGGCTGCGGGTGGCTCCCTCTTCTTTCTGATTGGCAGCTGGTGAACTAGGTATGTAAATGAAGGGAAGAGGCCTGGGGAAAGAGGAGTACTGGCCGCGGGGTCCTTTGGCAGGTTCGATCCCCCGGTTCGGCAGGTGCGCGCCAGGACTGCCCGGGATCGAGGCGCACGGGCCTCTCCGTGCCGCCCGCCCCGGCCTGGCGGGTGAATCACACCGCAGCCCGGGAAGGGGGCGGAGGCGCCGGCTCTCTGGCTCCGGCTGCGTGACTCACCCGCCCCCGCCGCCGCCGCCGCCGCCGCCGCTGCTTCGGGAGGAGTAGCCTCCACTGCCTTCCGGAAGCGAGCGGAGGCCGAGAGGGCAGAACGGCCCTCCGGAGATCCCGGGCCGCACGGTCCCGGGTGGCAAGCAGAAATGACCACGTCCCGCGGGGCACTGTGAAGAGTCCCGGGGTCTGGGGAGTCGGAATCCCCGGGGGAAGCCGGCCTGGCGCCGCCAGGGGGCGCCGGGACCGGGGGGGGCGGAGTCGGGGGTGGCGGCTGAATTCCTGCGGTTCCGGACTCTCGGACCTGCTGGGAAGGAGGCGAGGACCCAGTTTTGAGTAGTGTGAGGGGGTCACTATTGAAGTCCTCCTGGGCAAGGATTTGGGTACTGTACCCTGCAGGCTGCCTGGCTTAAAAAAGCAGGTTGGGTCAGGGGCACCCACCCCGGGGAAAGTGTGGGTCTTCAAACTTTTTTCCGTGACCCCCGTGCCCATGAGGATTTTCCGGCAAGCTCTGTCCACGCTGCCTCTCAAATAAATCCTGAATCGACCATCTTCCTTCCGCGTCCACTGCCACCTTATACTTCCAAGTCACCATCTTCGCCCACCCCCAAAGACTGCAGTAGCCTCCGAAAAGATCTCAGGGCCACTCTCCCCGCCCCTCCTCGCTCCCCCTGCCTCTTAGCCGCCAAGGGGATCTTCTGGAAACCTAATCAGTCCACAACACCACTGTCCTCTCTGCTCAAACCCCTTCAATGACTTCCCACCACACCCCCCAATAAAATCCAAGCTCCTTGCCTCTGCCTACTCTCAAACCCCCCACATCCTCCCTACTCCATCCTCAACCCCCACCCCCGGCACTGACTACAGAGTCCTTTTTTCAGCTCAAACTCATCCAGTCTCTAGGGTTTTCTTTGCCCTTGCTGTTTTTTACTCCCAGAATGCCTTCCCCCTGGTTCTTCCATGGCTGATTTTTTCTCATACTTGAGGGCTCATTTCAAATGTCACCTCCTCAGGGGAGCCTTCCCTGACCACTCTCCAGAAACTTTTAGCATCTTCCTAGCACCATCGGTACATTTCTTGTGTTTGTTTATTGTCTGATGCTGTTAGTAGACACTCAATAAATATTAGATTAAACCATGTGAAGCAACTGCTTTTGTAGGTTAAAAAAAGTTGAATATTGGACATTTCACACTGGACATTTTCACACTGGACACTTCACATTAGCCATTTCACATAGTTCATTGAAGAAATAGATAATAATAGTTATTATCAATAGTACTTATTTACAGGAGTAATTGCTATGTAACAAACACTGTCCAAAGTGCTTTTTTAAATCTCATTTGTTCCTTAAAACAACTCCAGGAAGTAGATACAATTATCATTCATGTCTTAAAGCTTCCCCAAGAAAACGTAGGCTCAGAAAGGTTAAGTGCTTTGCCCAAGATCACACAGCAATGGTCAGAACTTCACACTGGCTTTCCATAACTGAATGCCTCTTCCCTCCCCACAGATGATGCTGAGCAAGGGCCTGAAGCGAAAGCGGGAGGAGGAGGAGGAGGAGGAGGAGAAGGAAACCCTGGCGGTGGACGCCTGGTGGCTGGATCCCAGCCACTCGGCAGTAGCTCAGGCGCCCCCGGCCGTGGCCTCCAGCTCTCTCTTTGACCTCTCGGTGCTCAAGCTCCACCACAGCCTGCGGCAGAGTGAGCCGGACCTGCGGCACCTGGTGCTGGTAGTGAACACGCTGCGGCGAATCCAGGCATCCATGGCACCCGCGGCTGCCCTGCCACCTGTGCCCACCCCGCCTACAGCCCCCAGCGTGGCTGACAACCTGCTGACCAGCTCTGATGCTGCCCTCTCAGCCTCCATGGCCAGCCTCCTGGAGGACCTCAGCCATATTGAGGGCCTGAGCCAGGCCCCACAGCCCCTGGTAGATGAGGGGCCACTAGGCCGCCCCGCCGGGGGAGCCTCACCCAGCCTGGGCGCCTTGGACCTGCTGGGCCCAGCCACTGGCTGTCTGCTGGACGATGGGCTCGAGGGCCTGTTTGAGGACATTGACACATCGATGTATGACAGTGAACTCTGGACACCAGTCTCTGAGAGCCACAAATCCAGCCCTGAAGATGGACCAGGCAAGGAGGTAGGTCCAGATCTGGACGAGGCCGAGCTGGACTACCTCATGGACGTGCTGGTGGGCACACAGGCACTGGAGCGACCCCCGGGGCCGGGGCGTTGACCCCTCTGGGCTGAGATGTTGATCTAATGTCCAAACTGAGCCTGCTGGCTGGACCAACTCTCCTTGGAAAGACACAGCTGGCTTCCCTCGAGAGGGCCTTTGGAGAGAAAGAATCCAGTCCTGGGCAACTTCACCTCCATCCTCTTGTCTCTGACTGATGGGGAGGGGAGTCTGGGATTGGCCCTTGTGATGAAATGACAGGGCCTTGGTGGCTGGAATGTGATTGGACTAGGTCCTGTGCTGAATCCCCAGAGGCACAGCCTGGGATACATTTGCGTCGATGTGGGAAGAGACCCCAACCTGTTTTTTGAAATTAAAGCCAGTCCTGGAAAGTCTGAAGTGTGTGTACTGCTTTGTTTCTGGGCCAAGGCAAGGGTGAGGGTGGTAGAAAACCTCTAACATTTATCAAGCGAGGACTGTGCACGCAGCACAGTTCTAAGCACTTGACATGTGCTAACTGATTTAATCCTCATAACAAGATGGGCATGTTATTATCCCCGTTTTACAGTTGAGAAAACTGAGGCTCCAAGAAGTCAACTCTTAGGGAGATAAGTTTCAAACTTTACTGCTTTTTGGTCTGAGAAGCAGACCAATTAGGTCTGGAAACTGGCTCTCTAGAAAACTTCTGGAATATACTCAGTCAGGTCTCCCCATGTGCCTGTGTGTGTACCTAATGGTGGTGGTGGGTGGTCGTGGAGGAGGAGGAACCAGGGGCCAGTGTTTAAAAGTGAAATCTAGACCTTGCCTGGAGTCTACCTGTGTGTCTTGGAGTGGGGGGGCAGAAGGAGCTTTCAGAATGAACCAGAAATAAAAGCACAAAGCTAAAGGCTGGATGGAGCCTCTCCTCTGAGCACAGAGAGCCAGTTCTCCGGGAAAATGATGAAAGAAAGACTCCAGCAAGTTTTAAACAAAATCCACTCCGGGTCTCAAATCTCTCTTTGGGCTAGGGATAAGGCAGCTCGGAAGCCGATTCCGAAATAAAGCCACCAAGTGTGGTGGCTTGACCGGCAAGGGATCCTGCTTTCCTTCTAGAAGAAACTCTGAGCCCCGGCGGGCTGGGGCCACCTGCCTGACAGGCCTGTGCTATAGGGCCGGCCTGAGCGCCGGGTGTCTGCGCCGCCCCCGCCGTCCAGCCGCATTCCTGGCCCGGCTGGGAGGGGCCGCACACTCAGAGGCCTGGCACGGGACCCAGGCGGCGTCCTTCCTGGCGGCCGTGGGGGCAGGGCCGCGCCCGGGGTACCGGAGGGGGGAGGGGCACGGTGAACGCGGCAGCGGGGGAGGGGGGAGGGCGGAGGCGGGCGGGGGGAGGGGCGGAGGGCGACCTGAGCTGACCGGCCGGGCCTCGGATGCGGGAAACCCCGGCAAAAGGACACTTAAAATCGTGGGGCCCGGGTGCCTCCACTCTGGCCGGAAGCTTCGGGGAGGCTGAAGCTGGGGTGGAAACGGAGGAAGGGAGGAGGGTGGGGAGAGGGGGAGAGGGAGGGGGAGAGGCGGGCAGCTTCGGCCGGGCCTGCGGGCCTGGAAGGGGCGGGCACAGGGGAGCTTCCTGGAGGAGCGGAGGAAGTCGTGCCCATTTCTGGAAGTGGATGGGGTGGCCCCGGGAGGGGAGTGGCAATGCCCCAAAGGGAGCTGGTGCCCCAGTTCAGGGTCTTCCGGGTGCCTGACTCCAATACCTGGGGGCTCCAGCCCCTGGGCAGTGGGACTCAGATTCGATTTTGACCCAGACCCAGACCCTGGGTGTAGGCTGAGCTCAGCAATGCCCCCTGGTGCCCAGTCTGGGGGGGGGGGTCTGTCCTGTCACTACCTTAAGATTCCCTTGTGACCTGACCGGTGGTCAAGGAGTCCCCCGTGTGGGGTCAGCAATGCCTTCTGTTTACAACACCGTGAGGACCTATTTCTGATGATGTCTCTGAGTGCCAAATCGGAGGATAATCTGTGATACCTATTGACGCAGGCAGTCTGTCAACGATGGTCCCATCTACCCCTGTGCCTGTTTGGTGAGGGGTGCTCCCCTCTCCCCAGTCTCCGTGTACAGTTGTTCAGGTTGTGCACTGCACACAGGCTCCGTTTTGAAGGGGCTACCACAAATGTCTCCAGCACCATGTGTTTACATATTTATGAGGACAGTTTCTCAGTAGATGGAGATCAAGTGCCTTGGGGAAGGGGGCGTGCCTTTTGCACAAAAGCAGCAAGTGGACTAGATCAGTTCCAGTTCCATCCCCCTGCTGCCTTCAGGTTTATGACAGCTCGTGGCTGAGGGCCTGTGCTGCTCTCCCTGTGTCTGACCCCTGAAGAAGGATTGTGCAGCTCCTGGCTCTGGTGTGCCCCTCCGCCCTCAGACTCAACCCCAGGAAGCCGGGCTACCTCAGCCAGCAGATTCCAGGGCCCACACCATTCCTCATGGAGCTGCCAGCCCTGCCGCTGTGGCTGCTTTTCACAGAGCCTCTGTGTATTCCCACCACGACCTTCCCCAGGCCCGCTCCCCTCCTTGGGCATTCACAGGGACCCCTACCCATCACACACACACACAACCTTCTCTCTTCCAGCACCTGGGAGAACTGTCCTTGGTCTCCTTCTTTCCCCTCCCCCTCCTTCCCTTATTCAGCAAAGATTTACTGCTCCCTACCCCACCGGGTTCAATCTCTGGGTTGGGAAGATTCCCTGGAGGAGGGTATGGCAACCCACTCCAGGAGTCTTGCCTGGAGAAACCCCATGGACAGAGGAGCCTGGCAGGCTGCAGTCCACGGGGTTGCAAAGAGTTGGACCTGACTGAGTGACTAAGCACAGCACAGCAGAAGCATCGTTAGACTTCTCCACTGGGACCAGTAAATGTTCATTGAATGAATGAGTGGGACTGGGTGGAAGGTGAGTCTTGGAAAGGGCAGGGTTCACATCCCCAAGGAGAGGGATACATTCTGAGAGGCCCAGAGGGTGGGAGAGATGCTGTCAGATTTGCCTTTTACATACAGCCCGGCACCTGGTAGGGTGAAGTGAAGTCGCTCAGTCGTGTCCGACTCTTTGCGACCCCGTGGACTGCAGCCTGCCCGGCTCCTCTGTTCATGGGGTTTCTCCAGGCAAGGCTCCTGGAGTGGGTTGCCATGCCCTCCTCCAGGGAATCTTCCCAACCCAGGGATTGAACCCAGGTCTCCCACATTGCAGACAGGTTCTTTACCATCCGAGCCACGGGGAAAGACCCTAATGGTACTTAATCAATGATTATTGACCCAATAAGCTGTACTGGGGGTCTTCCCTAGTGGTCCAGGGGTTAAGACTCCATGCTTCTGTTGCGGCCAAAGTCTTGGCTTTCTCTACCCACAGAAGCCAAATAAAAGATACGGAGACAGAGTCTGGAGGAAATGGAAAAATATCTTTAATCCTCAGCCGGCAGAGGGGAGAACTCATGCTTCGAGAACTGTGTCCTTGAAGTCCAGATTCCTCTTCCAGGAAGAATCTGGGGAGTTATATAAGGTGAGGGCTCACAGTCAGGGGTCGGTGATGAGAACAAAGGTATAAGGAACTTGTGTTCTTCTTCCTCTTACATTGTTTCAGAAACAGTCATAGGCTGGCATCAGGTAGCCCAGTAATTGGGTCTGGCAGACCGGTAGTCAGGTCCACTGTCTTTTATGTGTGGCATTCTTTATATAATGCAAAAAGAGAAAAAACTATGAGGGGTGGTCTGTGAAGAAAGTGCTGTAAAGATGAGCACCAGATACAGAATGTAATTAGCCCAGAGTCAAAGGATAATAGTTGCAAAATGTAGCTCTTGTGGAGTTAGGGGGCAGAAAAGCAAACTTAGTTACAGAATACAGATTAGAACAGTTACAGTGAAAACTAGGAGTGATCAGGCCTGCTTATTGTTCTCTTTATCTTTGTTCTCAGGAAAGAAGAGAAGCACTCATTCCCCCTTTTTTCCTTTTCACTGCAACACTTCCAACACAGGGAGCACAGGTTTGTGCCCTGGATGGGAACAAAGATCCCACATGCTGTGAGGTGCAGCATTAAAAAAAAAAAAAAAATTGGATTGTGTTAAAAGCCCGGCCACCTATATTTTGCCATTCTGTGGCTGTGTGACCCTAGGCAAGATACTCAACTTCTGTGGGCCTCGGAGTCCTCATCTGTAAGCTGGGACAGTAAGCGTAGCCACCTCGAAGGGCTATTGTTCTGAGGGGAGAGTGTTCTAGGCAGAAGGATGTGCTAGGGTAAGGGAGGAAGGGACCCTACAACCTTTTCAGGGATCTGTAAGCTGCTGAGTTTGATTGGGAAGAAGGGGAAAGCAGTAAGGTAAGTGATGGAGCTGGAGGGGTTGGTAGGGACCAGGGCACAGAGGCCCTGGATGGGAGACTTTACTCTGAAGGCACTAGGGTAAAGGAATCTAGAAATAAATGGATCTGTCTGGCTGCCATGTCTATCTGGTGGTGGGAGGTGATACAGGAGGCCAGGAGTTGAGAGGGGAGGCCAGAGAGTGACAGATCAGCCTTGGAGAGGGGAGGGGAGGGGAAGGGAGAGTTGCAAGAGAGGACAGCCTGTAGGAGTGATGAGCTGCAGTGGAGGAGGGGCCTAAGATGAGATCTAGGGCTCTAGCCTGGGAACTTGGGGCTACTCTACAATGGTGACCAGGTCTGGGGTTGACACTGAGGCCAGAGAGGGACACCTTGTGGGTGCAAGGGACTAGGGGGACACTCAGAGGCAGGTATCCAGGCAGCTGCCCCCACCAAACCCTGGGGACTGGAGCTCAGTAGAGAGGGCAGGGGACGGAGCAGGCGTAAAGGATGGGGGTGAGGGAGGAAGCTTCCCTGGGCTGCACTGGGTGGGACCTGCATGGCTCAGTTGGGTGGGGAGAGGGTGGTCCCTGAGTAGCGCCTTCCACGTCCTTCCCCAGCCCTGCAGGATGTCCTGTGTTTACGGAGGTGGCCTTGGCCGGAACTGGGACACTGGTGCCACCCCCTGAACTCAACTTCCTATGGCCACCCCACCCCCCAGGGGGAAGAAAAGGCAAGAGA